TTGAAGTTCAATTGCGTCCCAAAATGATGTCGCTGATCACTCAGTTGTCGCAGCGTGTGTTGTGTCATGTCCATGATGCACCCCGTTTCGACTTTGGCTTGCTTTTCCTTCTTAGTGCATGTTTTTGTTCACGTAAAATGCGACCTCCCACTAATGTATTGAAACACTTTGAATTTATACTTTGCATGATTATATTTGGTCAACGCGAAACATTATTTTTTCTAAACATTTTTTGACATCATTTTTATCAACGCAGGGTTATTTTTCCAGACAAGATGGACTTCCTAATATCTGCCATAACATCGCCCGGGCGATGCCTAGAAAAATAAAAAAAAGGCAGTGCAGCCAGACGGCTACTTTGTAGCCACGTGCTCATCATTTGTTTGTGTACCTTTGCCATTTCACTGTTTCATTTCAAGTGTAACATGGTGCGTGGTCCTTGACGCAGTGCGTGTTCTCTGCCCGACTATACGCCATGAATATCGCTAGCCACGAGTCTCAGAGGCACTAAAAAAACGTCCTTAATCGTGTTCATTGGAAAACAAAACAAATCACTAATAAATTTATGAAAACAGCTCCTTTTTGAATCGATCTAAAATTACTCTTTTAATTCGCGCACCAAAAACCAATAATTTCCGTTTTTACGCTATTAATTCGTGCACTTGAAAAAATAATTATTTTTACTACCGCGAATTAATCGAGTTTTTACGGTATTTTAGTAAATATTACAATTTTAAACTTGCTGAAATCTGATGTAGTGTGTATATTTTAAAATACCACTTTGTTTTCAAAAAATCTTCCAGTGAAATGGAATAAACACAACTGCAGGTGAGGAAAGGGTCGTTGGCCTATGTCGATAATTTTGGAGCATACAGAATATTGGATTTTCACCACTGAGGGCAGTATGTATGTTCATAATAATGTGGTTTTAGGATCAGGTGGCATTTGTGTAGACGAAATTCAGCAAAAGTCGCGGACACTCAATGTCTTAGAGCCCCAGAAAAATATTTACCACTACAAAATTTCATGATTCTCACAGACTTTTAAAATTAAAGTGGTTTACCTTACTCATTTTCATAGTGCATTATATTGATACCGTAAATTTATCAGAGCCTGCTTCTCAGATTGCTGGCATATTTGTACTCTACTTGTACAGATGCAAAAATGAAAACATCAACAATATAAATAAAATGTTTTAATAATTTCACTGAACAAAATAAAATTAATGTGCTGCAAAAATAAATATTTTTTGCATAAATAAAACACAGCCCAATGGGTAGCTCAACAAATTCAAGCAACATTTCCTAGACCCTATTCTAACCATTGCTACTGGATAGCAAAGCTCTTAGTATAAACATTCCAAAACATCATCCATGTGCATTCGTTCTTCCTGCTTTTATGTCGAATTCATATTTTGAACATTTCAAACATCAATAAGTGAGGTGTTAAGAAGTTCTGTTGCATTGTCAAAGAAATTAAGCATCAAAATTATTAAAGCAGGGGTGTCATCACCTGCGTATGCGTCAGATGGCCATAGTGTGTCATTGTTTACAAACAAGTGACTACCCATGAGCCTTTGTGTTTTTAGCGTGTGTTGTTATCTTCCCTTGGGACTTACTGTAGAATACTTTATTTTCGCTTGGAATTTATTTTCGCTGAAGGGATGATTCCGTGAAAATAAAATCCAGCGAATATACTTTTTTTCCTATATTTCACATTAAACTCATCAAAAATCAGTGAAAATAAAATATCATAAAGAACGCCCAAAAAGCCTATTCAGTGAAAATTAATTCCAGCGAAAATAAAGTATTCCACAGTAATTCCCGTGCGTGTGAAGGTGATGACCCTCTCGCTTTAACATGTTCTTGACCACTCGCTTCCAGACACTGATAATTTTCATACAAATGATATTGCTCATAATAGTGGCATGCAGTGATGAAATCAACATGGAAGATCATTATTGGATTTCAAATAAACAAAACTATCAACTAATAAAGGTTCTCTGGAATATGCATGATGTTGATTCTGTAATAGACTAGAAGTTGTTTTTATGACATCGTTTGATATCCCATTTTTGTAATTCAGTCAATATCATTGTTTCACACAGAATTCCTGGAGCTGGTATAAATTTTTCGTCTCGGCTATGCACTGAAGTATACGTGAATGCTGTAAATAGTTCAAAAGTTGTAGAAAAATCGCAAAATATTGTAGTACAGCAGAGTGAAGATAATTCCACTTGACAGTTCAGCGATCATTGTGAAATTTTAGAGTCAATGCAAAGGAACTTACAAGATCGTGCCTGATTAGCCCCCACTTGCAAGGGCCGATCTAGGATCTGGAATAGGGGGGGGGCGATAAGTTGGCCGAAGGCCAAGTTCACGAGCGCCGATGGCGCGAAGCCCTGTTGGTTGTTAAAAATAGGGGGCCTCGCCCCCCTCTAAATCCACTCATGACTTGAACCTAACACCTAACAATCAGAAGGCAGCTGGTTTGCTGTCAGGTTTTTTTCGACGTAACAAATTCTGCCTTGTATGTATTCTACTTTATGTGCTTCCACTTAACAGAAATGCTCTCAAAAACTCTCATATCATCAACATTTTTAGCTGCAAAAATTATACATGTACAATGCTGTACAGACCAATCAGAAATCAATGCATAGACCCAAAAATTTTGTTACTGTAAAATGACTACTTTTTATTGGGTTTAAATTTCACTGATTTGCTATTTCAGGCATATTCAGTGAGTTTTATATTCACGGCTTTATCATTTAGATAATGTGTTTTATGCTAAATATTACGTATTCACTGGGTTTTAATTTAGCGCATTTTCCAGTCAGCGAAATAAGAAAAATTAAAACCCAGTGAATAATTATCCCGTTTACAGTACTACCATATTTGGATTGTTACCTATTGACCATATATGGTATTTCTATTTTACTATTTTCCAGATTAGTTCTGCTGTTGAACTGTGATGGCAGCAGACTGCCATTTAAAAAGTCTATCAGTGTCTCAATAAATTGCCATGGTTTTTCAGAGTGGACCCAGTGACCAGCGCCCTCTATATGTGTAACAGCAGACCTGGGAAACAGTCTTTTGATTTCAGGATAGTGTTTTGGACTGAAATAAAAGCAAGAAATAACAAAAATCAGACATATTGACATAAACTATGCAAATTGCTGCCATTTGAAAAACTGCTGTGAACAATTTTTGATGCTAGTTTGTTTCATGATTCAATAATTTAATAGCGGGTATGAAGACAAAATTTCACCAAAGTCACTGACGGGACACCAGTGAATTAGACATGAAATCAAATGTAAAAACAAAAGAAGCAAAGTTCATTGTGCTGTGGCGTCATAATATTGCATAGAATTTGACAAACATGGGAATGTGTTTTGGTATTTTCACACTTAATAATGTGCTATAAACATTTGATCAATTTTGATGAAGTAAGTGTATCTCAATGCCATATTGTCTGACATTGAACAATAAAAAAAAAACAATTTTTTTCCCCGATTTTTGCGACAAACGTTCAGTCCATACCTTTCACGCATTATGCAAGATCTCTGATTGTCACAGCAATAAAATTCAGCATCATACATTGAATATAATGATCTTGAAAATTCTTACTATAGTAATTCATATTTTATAAAATAAGTGACAAAACATACAATTTTCTTTTTCCTTGAAGAACTTTCCTCCCAGCAGTCAACAAACTGACTGAATTTGATATGGGGATTTCATTTTGACTCGGGAATCCCACAAAATCAGCGCTGAAGAAATCTGTTTTCATAAGCCGACTGACATCGAAACTCGTATACTTCTAAAATAACATGCTTACCTAATGTATGGTGAATTTCCCCCACCAATAAAGAGAGCTGGACCATCATATGTTGACGAAAAATGATCAAAATCATAGAGAGTTCGTAGTTGTCTTTCAATTGCATTCAAATTTACTCTCCAACAATAGTGTCCAGATATCTCAGTGAAATTAGTCAATAAAAATAACCTGTCCCTGGAGTTCTGAAAAATGTAAATTTTCAATAAGTTCAATAGTTAATTTACATAATACTTAATAGAGCTCGAACTTTTCAGGTGAGAGAGCTCCTACATGTATTTTAAATGCCAACATTTATAAAATTGCTTAAGCCTACAGGATTAATATAGGGAATATTAAAGGAAACCAAGTGATTTGGCATCAAGGTAATTTCATTTTGACTTACCTCTCCCTGAATTACCTTGAATTCAAGCCTTGACTCAATTGGTGTTTGCCTTCAAGTTTTTCTATTGGTTTATAAAACTTGTGTGTGGTTGAAATGTTTGATAATTTGCATATTAATTTGCATACACACCTGAATGATGTAGCATGTTTTTGTTCAATGTGAGAATAATTACGTTGCTTGGTAACCAGCGTGAATGATATTGATATGACTAAAAATGAGGTATTTAACAAAGTTAAAAATTATGTCAGCTTATCCTGCAAATTTGAAGGAAAAATGAATTGTATGTGCATTGTGGTACTCCCATGATGCACCTGACTTTAAGAAATAGTGAGCAGTACTCTGTTTAGGAAGCAAGAGTTCAACTGTTATCTTTCACAATAACACATTATGAGATGCAAAGCATCCCCTGTAATGCTAACATTCAATATATACCACTAGAGGGCGTATATCATTCTTAAATTTCAAACTGTGAGGGCAGTCTACTCACAGGTACAGATGGCTTGAGTTGCTGGTCTGCATATTTTCTCATAGTAGACCTTGGGAGTGAATGATCAAACTGTAAATTCCTCATTGCTTTGATGTATGTGTCAAAGTCTATAGTGGATCGTGCACTAGGTGACGGCGATATATCTACCACAATCATTTTGTCAATGACATCGGGCTGTTGGATAAAAGAATGAAATAATGAAAAACAGTTATTTTAAATGATGAAAGTACTGGATGTAATGTTTCTCATTGGAATTTGTTACCGGAAAATGGTCTGGAAAACATACTAAGATGGTATATACATATACAGAGAAGCATGGAGAAGGAGAGATGCTGGCTCTATTCTCCACTAGTAGACAAGGAAATGATGATATACATATACAAAGCACACATATGAGAATGATTATAATTATGAATGTTTTAAAGTCACACTGCTGTTAGAACTAGATATATGCTAATGGGGAAGGCTTACAAAAAGAAAGTTTTTGACCAGTTCAGAGATCAGCTAAAAGCTGATGCACATTCACATACAAACTAGTAAATTTGAACAAAATTTTTCGTAATATTTAAAGTTTTTTTTTTGTACTGTAAACCTTTTAAAGGAAAAGTCAAGCCAAACAACATAATGA